AGGAAATAGGTACTTAAATATGTACTACGTTGCTAAAAATATCGTAGGTATAATTAAAATTAATGTTAGCTTCTCTTATGAGAGTACGAATTTATTCGACCGCCCATATACAATTTTCAACAGGAGCAATCAATATCCATTTCCAATATCTAGAACGTTGCATGACTTTAAAAATATACTAACATTCATACTGTCTAATCGTCAAGCAACTTGATTGATTGTTTATTTATTGAATCAACGAACAACCGTTGTTTATTTTATAGCGTAACAATAGGAAGTTAAAATTGATCAAGCTCCTAGAAATACGTTGCAATAATATATGTATTTTATTCGTACTTTTCTTTATTGAATTAACGTTATTTGGGATGATGACAGGGTATGAAAATTAAAAATATAATTAGTCCGTAAGTTAGGTGATGAAAAAATATTAGACACGTATTTTTTTTATTTTGTCGTATAATAAAACAATATTTAGTAAATAAAATTTAACTTAAATTTAACGATTCAAAATTTAGGAGTGGGGGCTAAAACGTCATTTCTACGTATAAAAATGTACATAGAAGTCACATCACACGACATTTCAAATCAATATATCGTCGAAAGTATTCGTTTCTGTAAGAAAATAAAATTTACGTGTTTAATGATTTAAAATAATCTAACAGGCGGACATTAAAATAAAGATTAGGCATCTACCCTATTGGAATAAAAAATAAAGCATTTCACAGTAAAAACATACCATTTCAGAGAAATAAAAGCAAGCTTGTTATTAAAATGTAACTTCTCATATAACTGTGACTTTGACTGTGACGCATATTGGACATATCAGTATGCCAGCCCTGTACACAACTAGCAATTTAGAAACCACAGATACACATGCATGTGGAGTGTATGAACTGCTTATCAACATGCATTGCAACTTGGTAGCTGACGGAAATGGGTTACTCTGGGACATGCACGAATGCGGTGGACATCTTGTCACCACTTACGCAAAAACCTGACAATTTGCGTACTAAGTAGTAGGGGCAAGTCCCTTAACGCCGGACGACACCTAACGCCGGACACTTGTATTATCTCAATAACTGATAACACGAGCGATTCAATATTTAGAGAGAAGTCTTCCAGTGGCAGACACTTAAGATTTTTATTAAAAATTGAACCGCTCGTGTTACCAGTTATCGAGATAATACAAGTGTCCGGCGTTACGAGACTTTCCCCTAAGTGATAAAGACGTCAAAAATATGTCAAAGTGTAAGTTGTGTTGCGGCGTAGGAAATGTGATGTTCAATATACTAATGTCCGCTAAGCAATTTTGATTCCGGAAGATCATGGACATCAAAAACTGAATCACAATTTTTCTGTGACTGACTTATCTACTTACAAATCAACCAGGTGATTATTATGGCGTCACGCTACAGAATAAACATACATAGCATCACGCCTTTTATCTCCGAAGGGGTAGGCAGAGGTGCACATTGTGCCACTGTACAATGTAACACCCACTTTTCACTATTTATGTTATGAGGCCCAATAATAGGGGGTGAGCCTATTGCCATATACCGGGCACGATTCCAATCTCTGTGCTACCACTGAGATTTTTTTTAAACCCAGTAATACTTTGCCCGACCCGGCAATCGAACCCGAGACCCTAGGCCCGGCAGTCGCACTTGCGACCACTCGGCCAACGAGGCAGACAGAATAATATACGAAATAATTATACTAGATTTAATTTCTTACCGTAGTCATCGCCTTTCAAGGGAGACAGTTTTCTTACAAAGTTTGCATACACACAATACAACCAAAATATTACTTAAGTGTTTCACATAAAGTTGCTCCTTGACTTAACATTAATTTTCAATCACTCATTCATTGTAGTAGAAAAACGTGTGCTTCAGTCTATTCTATTCGATTAGGTGCAATTGAATAGACGAGAATAAAACAATAGACGATGTATCCCCACGATTCGCTAATGTTTCGCAATGAAATTATGACATACAACGAGTAGACATACATAATTCAATGCCTATTAGTATACATATAATTTGAGCATGTCGTATAGTGACTCGTTGGTCATGTAGTTTTAGGCTTGCGTGTGATCTTGGGTTCGATTTTTAAGTTGAGCAAAGTATTTTTTATTTGTATGGGTATGTATGGAGTATGGGTTGGTGTCGGATGTATAATGTAATAGATTTTCCATCTACCTCTATTATATCTGAGTTACAACAACACAGGATAAAGGTGTGTGTTAAAACTGTCCACATCTGCATATCCCTTAAAAAATTAAAATACGCAATATCATGTTTTGTATAAGTAAATATCCTACACCAATGATCAAAGAGATTCCTCAATCATGGTAAATCCCTAGAATTTATTTGACGCGTCCTAACTCCTAACGCTTTTACTGAAAAGGAACTGTGTAATGTCAATCACTAAAAACATCTGTGGACCCGTTGGTCAATCAATCAGACCGACTGCGCTGGATAGTTAGAATTGAGTCTTAATTCTCCTATATGTAATTTATAAACGCTTGTGTTAATTACGCGTTGATAGGTCGATTTTAGATTAGTTCGTATTTAATTTTGGCTGGTTCTTGCTAAAATAATATTGGTGTGTTAACGGAGCCATTTGAGAGAGATTACAAATTAAAAACTATGACGTTGCAGTGGTTAAGAAGAGTTTGAATGCACAATAGCCTATTAAAATATTCTTCTCTATGAAAAATATGTCTTAGGGCCGACTTTACAATCATCAGTTACTTCTTAACTGTAGAATATATGTACTTGACATTTGACAGTTTTAGTATGGAAGAATCGTCAAATAGTCAAAGTTATTCCTTAGTTAAAACCTATCTAGCGTTGGAAAAATCAGCCGTATGGGCCGTTTTTTCAATCATCAGTTAACTGTAGAATAAAATTGACACTTGACAGTTTTTAGTATGGAAGAATTGTCGAATATTCAAACTCAGTTAAGAATTAAGTGATGATTGAAAAAACGGCCCTTAAAATAAACTACCGTTTACTTACTCACCGTCTCGGCCAAAAACATTCTGAACAATCAGTGAGAAACATAAAGTAAAGTTTATTTATACAAAAGAATATTTTATTAAAATAAGATCGAGTTAGAGTGATTATCTATACCTAAATTAACTAAACATCGCTGGTTACCCACGTGAATATACTGAGCAAAGCTGTACTAGTTTCGAGTCACAGAGGGGCTCTTCTTCATGGGCAACGTGCGCGGTCGCGGCAATGTCGCGTAGCCTACTCTCCCCTCTGTAGTTCGAAACTAATAGAGCTTCTCTCAGTACAGATATTCACGTGAGTAACGCGCGACTTTTAGTTAATTTAATATGTCTTACGATAAACAAACAGTATCTATACCTAATTAATAATCTTATTTGCCAAATCAGCGTTAGTTAAATAAGTTTAAGCTAAGCTACCATATTTTTTTCCATAAAACAACTTTCGAACTCACTACCAATCCCCAGACAGACGGTTCCTCGTTGAGCTATTGATCTCAAACAGTTATTATTAGCCGTCGACGTCTAGTTTGTTAACCTAATTAACGACGTCTATAAACAAATTCTTTAATACCTAGAGCTCAATGTATTTTTGTGCAGAATATGGGTATCTAGGAAAAGTAATTTTAGCTCCATATGAGCTCAATCAGCTCAATGTTTCAGTTCACATTCGCAAAGGTCACGAACCTGGAGTGTAATTTAGATGCTCATTCTTGCTGAGTTGAGAACGCGGCGTATTTATTTATTAGTGTTCACAAAAGTATTCAGATCCTGGTCTAGACTTACGGGTATGTGCACATCTATACACGAATAATGTCGACAGCACAAATTTTAACTTTGAGTTCTTGAAAAAAAAGTGAATGAAATTTTTATTCCCCTTAATGTTTTTTTTTATGTTTGAAAGACTGCTCATATGAACGACAGGTGTCTGTTTTTAATTAGTGTTGATAATACATTATGCCATTAATTTTACGTAAAATTGCAATAACTGGTAGGAATAAAAATAGCCGTAGTATATAAACGGGCGATGTCAGACAAAGATCAAAGATTGTGTTGTGCGTCTGAGTTCGACCGACTTTGATAGAGCTGTGACCTACTTGAGATTTTACAACAAAAAAATCATATTTTCAACACTAATGTTTGTCTGTTCTCTATTACGATAATATGCTATATCATAGAGTGGGAAAGTGAGTGCATAAGAACTTACTAGAATGTGTATAAGTCAAGGTATTCTATTCATATGATCAACAATTCTTATTTGAGACCACTTTTTGTTTCTGGGTGCATCAATTGGGACACACGAATATAGGATTAAGATTCAAAAAAGTCTAGATTTGCTTTTCAGTTTGTTTAAATTTAATATTTTTTGCGATACTTGTGAACAGAGCTTTAGCATATCTATATAGTACATAAACATTAAAAGTGTCGAGACTGGAAGTGCTGTATATCAAAAGTATAATGAGATCAGTAAACAAATCAGATATTATCATAACTGCTGTACAATATTTAGACAACGAATTGATTTGTGATGTAAATAATTTTCGTGTACACTGGCAACATTATATAACACAGCTGTTCCACACTAAACGACCGCCGTACATTATGATAAATACTGAAAATAGACATCAACATCATTTTTACGTTTGAAACATAAAATCAGTTGGTACTCTTCATAATGACTCGTCTTTAGATCCCCCGCTCGCGCGATGTCGTAAAACAATCTGATATTCCCGTACTTATTATCCAAACATCCTGTTATAATTTATGTAGTGCAGCGGCGCATGGAACGCCCCAATATACCTAATTCTCACAATTTGGAGCACCGCGGTCCAGTGTACGCCCGCGCCCGCCCATCGTTATGGCTCAAAGTGCGTTATTTATTTATTTTTATCAACAACCTGATCTTCCGCGCGTCTCACCTTAGTATCAATATAGACAGCGGTTAGAAGACACGACCACTTTACTACGATTGACAAACCGGTCAATGCGTTTAACATTTCGCGAGCCCTTGTACCACATGGATTTCGGTTGCTACGACAAGGACTCGGGGGAAGTGGAGTGCTACCTCGAAATACGTAAATACATTTTCACTAAACGCTATCAACGGTGATTTATAGCTTTCTTATTGTTGTGGAACATCGCATTGTAATTGATATTTTTAGTTGGAATCAGTGTAGTTTTTGGGTCGTGTAAACAGCTGGACTCTTCTGACAGTAAGTTACACCGTATGTCAGCGCAGTCCGTGATTGTTAGTCGAGTAAAACGCTATTATTGCGAATTTATTGCTCCTCCCTCCGATATAACAATAACATAATAACACAGTAAGGTACGGTGAGCTCTCAAAATGCGCACGGAGCTAAGAACGATAAGCACTAGGCGTGACAACGTGCCCAGTCGTGAGTAAACACTGAACTTTGTGCGCTTGCCGTCCGACAACAAATAATTAAATAAGCTCTAATTTTGAACATTTGAATATTTTAGATTGCGATACGGGTACTTCTTGCGCTATCACGATACAAATGCGTAAGTACCTTGACAATAAGAGTGAAGCTTGCAAGGAGGCTTAACAAATAATTTTGCGCTTGCGTCGCCAATATTAACCGTTTTATTCGAAATGCGATTTTTCATTTGGGACTTTTAGTGTATTTGTGATAGAAAATTAGTATAGTGAATAGTAAAGTAATTTAGTTATAGGTTTCAGTGACAGTGATGATTTTGAAAATTAATTAGGAATATTTTTTGTGTGTGTTAGCGAATCCAGAGGCAGTGGGATGTATAGAACGGTTCGCAACGTTTTTATCGTTCCTGCTCGTGATCATCACCTTCCCGTTTTCACTGTTCGAGTGCTTCAAGGTATTTTAGTAATTAAAATAAATAATAACACCTCTAACTCGTGCATAATGTCGATCATCGCCTCATTATTATTCACTTCAAATCCGTCGAACATTAAACACGTTAGCACCATTAAAGAAAAAAATACGTTCACATTTGGATGTTAAACCTGGAATTATGTAGTTAAATTTTATTAATTCACGGTCAGATTATAATCTGTTGTGGTCAATACGTAGATATAATTATCAATACATAATTATTTATTTAGTTTTCCATTTTGTATTATTGCGATTGGAAGTAAACTCGGTTAGTAAATTTTCATAAATTATTAGATTTTTTAATCAATAAAACGTCACTTAATTGTCACCAAACGCAAATAATTTCTTTTCATTTTTATTATTTCACGTTATTAAGATAGCCACAATACTTTTCCAGGTGGTACAAGAATTCGAGAGAGCTGTAATATTTCGGCTAGGTCGGTTAAGGAAGGGAGGTGCAAGAGGGCCGGGGCTGTTCTTCGTGCTACCGTGTATTGATACTTATAGGAAAGTAGACCTTCGTACAGTGTCTTTTGACGTCCCACCACAAGAGGTAAGTCCCAACTTTATATTATTACGATGTATTCCAACAAAGATTAACCTCTTGTCTGTAGCTATATGAGACACAATAGACATCGCACAGATTTGCGTTCCGATACTTCACAGGTTAAAAGATTTATAAATCGATTAGACTTTTTAAAAAAAAAACGATTACGACATTTAGAATTTCTCTTGACCCGAGACAACAATTCGTAGATCACACGAAGTGTTGTTCCGTGCAGGAATCGACCCCGCGACACGTTGCATGACAGTCGGTTGCCCAGCCACCGCACTAACCGTGCAGTCAAGATTTTTTGATAAGGAATCCATGCACTATAATTTTATTTCTTAATATTTTGTCGTCACAATAGGAGGATATTCCTATTACGAGTATTGTAATGTCATATTATTACATAGAAATAACGCTTTGTGTTTTTGTTGTATAAGTATGGAACTGTATCCCGAATACTGAAAGGTTATCCAATTCTATCTATATATGACTTTGACTTGACTTAAATAAAAAATACACCTATTTTACGTTTAAGGAAATCGAATTTATGCAATAAGCATCAACCACCTAGGACTTCAAATGTATTAAAAATAATAATAAAATAAATAATAACACCTCTACATGCATAATGTCGATCATCGCCTCATTATTATTCACTTCAAATCCGTCGAACATTAAACACGTTAGCACCATTAAAGAAAAAAATACGTTCACATTTGGATGTTAAACCTGGAATTATGTAGTTAAATTTTATTAATTCACGGTGAGATTATAGTGCTGTTGTGGTCGATACGTAGATACAATTATCAATACATAATTATTTATTTAGTTTTACGTTTAAGGAAATCGAATTTATGCAATAAGCATCAACCACCTAGGACTTCAAATGTATTCCTTATTGTACCGTTAATTATGCAAGTACATTCAATGGATCTGGATTTAATTTTATGTTTTCCGTGTACCACTGTGTCATAATCAGAAGTTATAGCCTTTTGGAACCTCTAATATTAACATTTCAATATAAACTATTCATATTATGTTCCTATAAATTTCCATTTGAATACCAAATTAATTATTTGGCTTGTCGACTCTTTGGTTTATGTTAAACCCTTCTTATATAAAGTAAATAGTCTTTATGTGCTAGTTTCCGTTTATTTATATGAAATATTTACTTACTTTCTTAGTTTATACTTGTTTTGTATAAGTTACAAATATAATGTAATATTGCATTTTAAGTAGCAACATACCTAACATAACTAATGCAACTGGGATTTGTAGAGATGAATTTATTAATGAACTAATGTCTAATGTTTTTATAATAACTATCGTGAGACATTGTAAATTAACTAAAAATCTGCACGACATTACCGCGACCGCGCACGCTGCTCATGAGGAAGATCCCCTCTGTAGTTTGAAACTAGTAGAACTTTTTTCAATATATTCACGTGAGTAACCCGCGATTTTGAATTAATATTATATCTAATATAGTTAATTTCACGTAAGGAAACTCTCTTTAAATAATAATTATTTATCGTATTACCTTCCGACTAGGTAGTTGATATTAAAGCTTTTGATGAAGTATAGGTGTTAACCTAGGCCTATTATTAGGCCCAACCTAACCTAACCTACAGAGCACAATGTTAAGTATACTTTTTACTTTACAATTTTATTGAACTTCAACATACTCATTATTCCTTTGCAATAAAGCTGAATTTTGCAATAAAAGTATTATTGACGAGATTCTTCCTAATGTCTGGATTTCTATTGATATATCCCATTAGCAATGTTTTACCACATGTTTCGATCTGGATATAAAATCTCGCATATGCAACATTCGGTCAACGGCTTTTAGTATAAAAATAAACATACGAGAACTTTAAATAGTAACATTAGTATAGTATTTATTTAGAATGCACATCTTTCTATAATATTTAGACAATTATCGCCGTTTAACTCCTAAATAAAGATAACTGCCAAAAATATTTACTATAAATCTGTCTCCTTACTTGATTAAGGGGAATTCTTTGCATTTTTCAGAAGGGTACGTATTAAAAAGTAATATCTTTACTAAGAAAGTCTGTTGGTTTAAATTCCAAGTCTGTTTTAAATCGATACTCACTTAATCTGGTCCAATTATTTCAAAGACTTCACAATTAAAAAGAAAACAACCAAAACAAGAGATGATAAACTATGATTATCAGACAATAGGATAGCATAGGCATGTTGTCAGTGTCTCTCTTCTAATTCTTCTGTTTTAATTTTTCAACTCTTATGTTTTTATTACTTCCACTGTCACACCTTTATTATCTTTTTATATTTTATTTATGCTGCATCGTGCCTGGTGCTGAATAAATGTTTTTTCTTTCTTTCTTTCAATACTGATATTAATGGCAAATGCAGACACTCTGTAATAAATTATGCGTGTGATCATACAAAAAAAATACATACATCATCGACCGTCCTCTGTTGTTTCAAATTTCAAAGAAATTTATATTAAGGCCTTTAGACAAGACAGACCTTTTCAATGATTACAATTGTATTTAATTAATTTTGCTGCATACATACATACCTACAATGAGTATCCAGCCGATCACCAGTAAATACAAAGTACATACCATTTAAAGAATATGAGGTATGAAGATACTAAGAAAAAATATTGGCCTAGCTCCTGATCTTAATCAGATCAGTAAAGACGTCAGTTCCATTTTATGGCTCATTTCAAAATACTTGACCAAGACAGCGCCACCAATAATTCGGAACAGACGCGCTAAAATCAATTTTTACTGTTCATTTACGATCTATATGTGTAATGAAGAATTTCAGCCATCTCGTGGTTGATATTTTATGTATTTTTTTGTGTAAACAACTAATAAATGAATTAGGAATTACTTGTCGTAATTATGGTCATATCAAAAGATACCTACTTATATTTACACTGTAAATAAAATTAAAATATTGATGTGAATTCCACTAAAGACAGATCAATGTCGACTTTATTTATTGAAGAAGGTTTTACCAAACCCAAACTTTTGCAAATCACTTTTCTCTAGACCTAGACCTTCTATCCTTTAGAAACTATAAAACAACTTTAGACCTTTTATTACAAATAAACAATTTATACTTTTTGGCATTATTTTTGTATGGATTAGGACATACTTAATCAATTTGAAAACATTTTTCGTCATTATATCAATGCAGTTTAGGTAATCTATAAAATTAAAATCTTTGGGATGACGTGATATACAGAAGAACACATAACTTCACGCTTTTTATCCCCGAAGGAGCAAGCAGAGGTTTATATCACTTAGTGCCACTGTGCAATGTAACACCCACTTGTCACTATTTATGTCATGAGCCCCATGTAATAGGGGGTGAGCCTATTGCCATTTATCATAAGAACTAATATAGAAACACCCAAAAATCCCAATGTATCATCACCCTCCACAAATAACGACTAGGCCGATTCCCAGACAATTGGTTTACGAGTAACGTTTGTTTTACATGTCGTAAAACTTTGATTGATAGTTTACAGCCACATCAATTAATTGTAGCCATCTGAATGGTCAAAAACAACTAGGTTAACGATTTTCAATACCAGCATTGGTACCAGAGCTGTATTGTATCGGCCACGTGGCTTTTTTATTGTATTTTACGTTGTTATTGAAGAGTAATGGTAGATAGAGACTTACTGCGAATGTGACGCAATGCGTTGCCATTTCTGTTTTTTTTTTATATGGTATAAGCCGGTAAACGAGCAGACGGATCACCTGATGGTAAGCAATCGGCGTCACCCATGGACACCTGGATCACCAGAGGCGATGCAACTGCGTTACCGGCCTTTAGGGGATTAGGGGTTTGAGGATCGTTGGGGATTCAGGAATTGGGGAGATTGGGAAAGGGGAGGGTAATTGCGCCTCCGGTAAACTCACTCACACGACGACACACAACGCAATCGTTGCTTCACGTCGGTTTTCTGTGAGGCCGTGGTATCACTCCGTTCTGTACCGTATCTGTTGATGTTCTACAACCAACTTGTTTGTAAGGTTTTTCTATTAACTAGAGAATAGCAAATAGCTTCACTTTTAAATTTATTGCTGACGTTCAAAAGTGCCTTCTTGGTCTAATTGAAATAAATGATTTTGACTTTGACTTTTAGTTTGATAGAACGAAAGGTTTTAAGTAAGGTTTTAAGAATAAATATAGTTTATAATTTTATCGATTGATGTAAATGATGGTGATTTTAAACGACTTGAATAATAAGAAGGTTCTTAATTCAACCTGTATGTATGTATCGTTGTGCGCGATTATCTCGCGCTGGCTGAACTGATTTTGTTGCGGTTTTTAGAAAAGTGTTTGTTACACTTAGAAAAAGGCACCTATATTAATTAACCGACTATAAAAATACAGGGAGTTGAAGAGGGTTTTGTTAAATGAAGTTTATAAAATAATTATTTCAAAACACTGGACTATCTAGTATAGATAGACCGGCGTCATAAGTATCCAGTTTTCAATGGGTAAGGTTTTTCTAGCGAGTTCACTACATAGTTGATGGAAGCTCTAGACACACAAAAAATATATACCTTAAAGATGAAAATTACGGCTAGGGTAGATGCCTAATTTTTATTTTAATGTCCGTCTGGTAGATTATTTTGAATCATTAGACACGTAGGTACATTTTATTTTCTTACAAAAACGAATACTTTCGACGATATATTAATTTGAAATTACGCGTGATATTTTATACGTAGAAATGACGTTTAGCCTAACCTTTGATTCGTTTTATCTAAGTATAGTTTTACAAAATAAAAAAGTACGGTCTAATATTTTTTCATTGCCTAACTAACGGACTAATTGGATTTTTAATGTTCATACCCTGCCATCATCCCAATTAAACGCAAACATATGTAGCCATTCTCTTCTCTTGAATTATCTACCAATTAGCACTAGATCCTTTGTATACGATCTGGCTCGTTTCAATCGTCATCATAATTCTCAGATGTTATGATACCATGCAATCAACACCGTTTGTTTGCACTTCATATATCGAGTAAACTGACTGGCACACGTAAGATTTCATAAGATTTCCATATTTTTAGCATGACGTCGAGTATAATTTAATTATTGTTTTAATAATCACTTTCAGTTTAAGAAAATGACATAAAAAAAACTTTAAAGGATCTATGTTTGAATTTCTTTCTGTAAAAAATATTTTGTAAATATCACATAAGCCATAGTCTATTATGATTGACAATGAAATAAAAAATACACTCTTTATAATGAAAAGCATCGTGTAGATGTAGTTCATAAGCAGGTACAAAAAGGCTGTTAGACTATTTTTTTAAATTAGGTACAGTACATTTTTGGATCAAAGACTAGTATTATTGAATAGTCAGAACTAGTCAGAAGTCAGTCAATCGAATCCCGATCGGAATATGGTAACACCGAGAGCAGTTCATATGTAAATATATGGTCAATATCATGAAGGTTGCAAGACAGTTTATTTTAACCTGTCCATTGTTCTGTCGAGAACAGACGGCCAGTTTGGCCTGAATACGTTTTGTTTGCCGGATAAATTAACGACGATTAGACGGGTAATGATAGAATTAGGGCATGTAACATTCTACTTGGACGTGATCATATGCTGCTGTAACAATGTTCCTTGATCTACTGTTTAGATTTCAAAATCTGTGAACTGCACAAAGCATCTGAGAACCGCACATTATTGTGAAAGTGAATTATACCTGACTAAGCGTAACATGAGTTAATTAGGATTTACAAGTTAACAGACCATTATAACTAGAGCTTTATCAAATAGAACTGTTAATAAAACATACGTTACTTTTAATCACACTAATATTATAAATATGAAAGTTTATTTGGATGTTTGGATGTTTGTCCGTCAATCAAGCTGAAAATATAGAACAAATTTGATGAATCAAATTAGATAAAAAATGGTGTAGGTACAGGTAGGGTATGGGAAGACTTAGGTGATAGGAATTTTTTCCTCAATTAAATGCTCCCATGGGATAAAAAAGGAATCATATTCTACGCGGATGAAGTCGCGAGCAACAGCTAGTAATATATTATTTTACAGCCTTACTCTTCGATTTATATAATACACATTTAACAAAAAAAAGATCTAACTTCTAGACCATTACGTTTTTGCTCAGTTTTTATATGTAACATAATAATACTTAGTTTTTTGGTACCACTTAGACTTACGTTAGTATTAAGTAACCTATAAATACTTTTAATAAAAGAGTGCAGAACGCAATACTGAACACTTGAATGCACCGTTACATGCCTGCATCGTCTGAGATTTAAATTTGCTTACATAAATTGCATTTTATGACTGGCCTTGCTCTGAGATTGCACAGAGCATTGTGATTCATCTTCAATTAGCCATTTTGAATCAGTATTTATGTTCATTCCGTTTCTGGCAGGAGATAATTATTATGATTAGATATGGTGTGAATTTTAGCACCCTGAAGGAAATCCAAGGGCGATGCAGACAATGAAGTAAATTGTATGAAGCCTGTTACTAATTTTGAACCTTTGGAAATTAGCTATTAGAACAATTACCGCCATGATAGTGAGGTAATGAACATATTATTTAGATGTTGACCGTTTATGAAAGGTCTTAAGTTGATTTATTTTGGTCCGAAACGTTTTCGACCTTAGTACAGTATAACTTAGTTTAATAATCCGGAATAATCCCTGGAGCAGTAGATATAGGCAGACGTACATACAGTGCAAAACAACCTACTTCACCTTTATGTATGGTGTCCCATGTAATAGTCGTTGATAATATTAGTTATTATACAGGTATTATATCACTATAAGAATTAATTTCGTTTAAGACGATGTTTTAATAAAATTAATCAGAAGTCGTGTCGTGATGTCGCTTAGAGAGCGGCTTCTTCCCACGACATTTGAACTTGGCAAATGTCATCGCACAAGTAGCAAGCACACAGTTACAATTACATCTTCTCATTCTAGTTAAACACGTTCATTTAGTTTTATGAGCAATTAATTACATTATTTATTGTTTGTAAGTTCCTTTAGGAATTGAAGAGTACTGTGTCTGAGTCCAAATATTGTTCGCTGCTTCAGTATAAGATGTTTTTTATAATAACTATCGTGAGACATACTAAATTAACTAAAAATCGCGGGTTACTCACGGGTTCTTCCTCATAAGCAGCGTGCGCGGTCGCGGCGATGTCGCGCAGCCTACTCAGGCCCCCTCTGTGGTTTGAAACTAGTAGAGCTTTTCTCAGTATATTCACGTGAGTAACCCGCGATTTTTAGTTAATTCAGTATAACAATTATTATTTTAGTAAGACTTATCTGAAATAAAATGGTTTCAGGTCCTGACACGGGATTCAGTAACGGTAGCAGTGGATGCCGTCGTCTACTACCGCATCAAAGAACCTTTGAACGCAGTTGTTCGAGTTGCTGACTATAGGTACTGCTTTTGCTTTTATCATACTTACCAAAAAAACGGTTACGGCAAATGGGACATTTCGAAAGCCACCACGAATAAATAGATCAAAAATGATATTTTTTGATATTTGTATTGTTACAGTTTTATACAAATCAAATTTTTCTTAATTAGTCGAGACTTTTCTGTGTATCCTTTTTTTTCTTACCTATTTAACATAACATGCCATCACGCCTTTTATCCATGAAGGGATAGGCAGAGGTGCACATTATCTACGTACACTACGTACATAATGCCACTGTACAATATAACACCCACTTTTCATAATTTATGTTATGTGTCTCGTGTAATGGAGGGTATTGCCATATACCGGGCATAATTCAAGACTCCGTACTACTACTGAGAATTTTAAAAACTTTGGCCGACCTGGGAATCGAACCCGAGACTTGCACTCGCACTTGCAACCACTCGGCCAATGAGGCAGTCTTACCTTTTTACACATACGTAATTGTTTCTCTTTCCAGTGCATCAACGCGTTTGCTAGCTGCAACAACACTTCGAAATGTACTCGGCATGCGCGACTTGGCACAGCTGCTATCCGACAGAGAAGCTATAAGTCACATGATGCAAGCCAGCCTTGATGAAGCCACTGATCCTTGGGGAGTTGAAGTGGAGAGGGTCGAAATGTAAGCCAGTATTTGGATACCTTTTCACTGAATCACACCGACGACATATGTATTTCTCCTTTAAATGAGAATTTGGATAGAACCATGTTGTTGCCCCAAACACCATCTTCCCAAACCAAGTAAGTTCCCGATACACCATTTTCCCAAGCCGAGTAAGTTTCAAATATCCTTGTGTCTCTAATCCAATTTTCTCTTTTCAAGGAGGAATAGATATGTCTCAAATACTGACTTTCATTTCCAGTCTCTTCATTTTGTCTCACTTAGGAGCTATTCTCATGACTGAGGATGATAATTTGCACTTTACCATATTTCATTTCATCAAGCCTGGTCTCAATAAAGTTAGATTAGCAAAATAGACTAGCATTTGCACTTTTAAAGTTTTATTGTATATACAATAGTCAAGGTACAGCTACAATAGTCCATTTAAAGCTACAATAGTCAATGTACAGCTACAACAGTCAATGTACAGCTACAACAGTCAACATCTATTCCACAAGACATGTAATTTTCCGTAGAAACCTTGAAGGATATGTTTGTGTCAATGATTTCAGAAAAGACGTACGATTACCAGTTCAACTTCAAAGAGCAATGGCTGCTGAAGCCGAGGCTGACCGTGAAGCTCGAGCCAAGATTATAGCAGCCGAAGGAGAAATCAAAGCGTCCAAAGCGTTGAAAGAAGCCTCTCTTGTTATGATTGATAATCCAATGGCATTACAGGTAAAGATAAAATCTTTTTGTCAATTAAAAAACCGAAAAGCTACTGGGTACTGTTGCTTTCAATGGACCGGTCGGAAGAATTATTCATCAAAAATTACAGGAAGCTTATCTTGCCTATCACATCCTGTAGTCAGCCACATTAAAATATTTTTTCATTATAGTCATCATGTTATCAATATGATAATGTAAAAGTGTTGCTAATTGTTTTTATAATAACTATCGTGAGACATACTAAATTAACTAAAAACGCGGGCTACTCGAAACTAGTAGAGATTTTCTCAGTATATTCACGTGAGTAACCCGCGATTTTAGTTAATTTAGTAATGTTAATTATTGGAAACTTTATGATCTACTCGTCCCTAACGTTGTATTTATAATTTTTTCTCAATTTTAGTTGCGGTACCTCCAGTCACTCAGTTCAATATCAGCCGAAAAGAATTCGACAATAATATTTCCCTTTCCGATGGATTTCCTAAAGACATTCCTGGGAGGACCTGGACCAAGTTCACAGCAACAAATCAACTTGTAGACATTGTATCGTTTGCAGTAAATAAAAATAATTCTAGTCAAATTGTTATTAAATTATTAAGTTCATACTTCTTTCATTTCTTACCTATTTTGAATGCAACCTTCTGATAGTGACATAACAATGACAGAGATTACATAAATCGTTGTTTATCAGTTACCTATTATTTTTTGGAAAATTTCTGTTTCGTTTGATCCCCTCAATGATGAGTTCACCCACCCTGCAACCAGAGGAGTCGCCATCAGAACAAATAAGATCAGGGTCGACTGATATAAACAGTAACTATTATCCTATAAAGAGATCAAAATAAATCAGCTCTATTTAGACCCATAGTCCACAGAGTACATTTGCCGTAGTCTTGCAGTGGTAGTGGACTATCAAGGGCTATGCGTTTAAAAAACCGACTTCAAAAACTTAAATCAAACGAAAAGTAAAAACTAAAAAGCAAAAAATAGCTATATTGGTCATACTTACTTACAGCTTACACACCCACTGATAAGTTAGAAGTCGGTGCCACATCGGCTCCATCATCGTTACGACTCCAGACCTTTATCAGATTGTAGTGGTTTTTAATACTTAATGAAAACATTATCAAATTCATTAATCGCACCTATAATTTTTAACTTATTTCAAAAAAAAGGATCAATTCGACCGTATATATGCTTTTTTTATGTTTGTTTTATAAACCGATTTTGATAATTCTTTTTTTTGTGGGAAAGGAGATAGTCCCGGGATGGTCTCATGATTAGGAAATCAGGATCTGATGATGGAAAACCAGGGAAACCGAGGGGTACTTTTAAAAATTATAGGGGCAACTAGTGCATTTGTTAATTTCTTCATTAAGTATTCAAAACCACTACAATCTGATAAAGGTCTGGAGTCGATCTGATGATGGAGCCAAGAGCCAGTCGAGGGAACTCCTCAACGGTTAACAGTAGCTACCTTGTGTTTGGGTTTGATTAATTTGTATTGATGAGGACTTTACACCTAGGTAGGATATAATTGTCAATAAGGGTCTGATAATGAAGTAGTACGACAGTTGAGGGAACTCCTCGGCGGTTACCAGTAGCTACCTCGTGTTTGGGTTTGATTAAAATGTTTGTTTATCAGATACATAATAGACATAGGTAGGTAATTTATCTATACATCTCGATTTCAGAATATTCAAAAGAGTCTCGCAAGGAAATATTTTTTCGGATATTGGCTATATTAATAATAATATTGTTTCCTATTACGCTATTAATATGTTTTAGGGTAAGTAAACGATATACATTATGATTTTAACAACCAAAATAATTATTCAACAGAAAAAACAACAAAGCACAAATGCAGTATAATGACTTTGATTATAAACAAATCATGTACCTATCTATCTACACAGTAGATGTTGTTTAGGTACTCGTACCGGTAATTATTTTTTTATTATTATATGTTCAAATAATAGTTATGTTTTTATTCCTTTAGGTGGTAAAACAATATAAAAGAGCAGTAATAATGCGATTTGGAAGGATTCGTAAAGACTCACCAGCTGGTCCTGGAATAATATGGATGATCCCTTGCACAGATGACATCCAAATGATGGATTTAAGAACTCAATCCTTTAATCTCCCGCCACAAGAAGTAATTAAATAATTATTTATTTCTTTTACATGTTTACATAAAGTTTTATTACCTTCTTGGGCCCTTGGTCACGTGCGCACAAGTGGTCTAATGTTTGCAAGGTTATTTGTATTTTAAATTTGCCTACAGCTAACTGTAACTGTGACTGCCTCGTTGGCCGAGTGGTCGCAATTGCGACTGCCGAGCAAGGGGTCTCGGGTTCGATTCCCGGGTCGGGCAAAGTATTACTGGGTTTTTAAAAAATTCTCAGTAGTAGCACGGAGTCTGGAACTGTGCCCGGTATATGGCAATAGGCTCACCCCCTATTACATGGGACTCATAACATAAATAGTGAAAAGTGGGTGTTACATTGTACAGTGGTATAATGTGCACCTCTGCCTACCCTTTTGAGGATAAAAGGCGTGATGTTATGTTATGGTATGTTATGCTAACTGTAACTGTAGTATTTTCACTCCATTTTGTTTTGTTTCTTTTGACAAAAGTCGTCATATTTACCCTGTCGATGTTTTATTTACATAATATGTTGATTTATCCAGATAAATTACTTACTTACAACAGTATCTAAGTAATCTTTAGACGTTCTATACAATAAAATCAGTTCGTATTCCATGAACTTAGTTGTGCAATGTTCTGTTTATTTGTCTATTATCGGTGAACTTCGAAAGCGGTTTCAATTAAAACCATTTTAGTTGAGAGGTTGAGGTCAACACCAAGTCTGAATCAAATCCGTTAAAGGTCGATGTCGCATGAAGTAATTCTTAAGTTATGTTATTGATACCTAATATTATAATCATATTTAAATATAGATAGAACCTTGTTCGTGTGTTTTCACCTGAAACTGCATAGTAATACCTACCTTTTGTCTCAGTCAGATTTCTGTATATCTCTGTATCTCGCCCCTTTTATACGGCATTGGGAGACTACCTACATATTCGCGACCTATGACATATGGTTTTACCTATGTGTGTCGTTTGAAATATACGAAATAAATCGAATATATACCTACATATATTTGTTTCAGATTCTAACAAAAGACTCTGTCACCGTAACAGTTGATGCCGTCGTCTATTTTCACATACAAAAACCACTTCATTGTTTATTGAACATTCAGAATAATCAGTAATATCTTACAACATAGAATTTAAAATGGAATGCCGTGTATTTAATTTTGTTAGCACTTAAGACCTTTTTCGATTGCAGATATGCAACAGAATTAATAACAGTTGCGACATTAAGGAATATACTTGGTCAACACTCTCTGTATAATCTTCTAACACGTCGAGAGAGCATCAGTTTTAAATGCAGAACAGACATTGACAAGACCACTTCCAGATGGGGAGTTGTTATTGAAAGAGTTGAAATGTATTGTTTCCTTATTTTCTCACTTCACAACATAATGTTCCAATTGACTACACAAATTACCTTTATACTTTTCATAAATGGCACGGAAATGTGTAATGAAAAGTCATTTTCGGGATTCAGTAGAAATAATTCATGCCAGATTAACTTCATCCATCTCCATAATAAATATACTTTGAATTTTTTTAAATTACTTAATAAGTTTCGTTTTTACAATTATTATTATTTTTGTTATACCTAATAATTTCAGAAAAGACGTATTTTTGCCTTTTGAACTCCAAAAGGCAATGGCTGCTGAGGCTGAGGGTACACGTGTAGCTAAAGCTAAAATAATAGAATCCGAAGGTGAAATAAAGGCAGCTGAGAATTTGAAGGAAGCTTCCAAATAATGATGGAGAATCCACATATAATGCTGGTAAAATAAGAATCAATTTCGAGACGATTCTTTATGATCACGTGCTAACTACTGTGTTTTATACCCTATTAGCAAAATAATAAAGTTTAAAATTCATCTGCTCCTTTTCTAATTCCAGCTCCGATATTTACAATCATTGAACACAATTGCGTCAAATAATTCAGCAACAATATTTTTTCCTTTCCCAATGGACCTTCCTTTAGTTACACCCGGTAAGAATATTATCTGTATCTATATTGTAGAGAAGTACAAGCATCTAACTTTGTTTGTTTGTAGGATTTAGTCTGCAGAAATACTGATCTGATCTTGAAAAATCTTTCATCAACAGAAAGATAACTATTAAGGAGCGACTTAAGCTATGCCTGTTTATCATACCTAAGTCAACAAAAATTCTGTGGAAATAATAATAAAAAATAATCAAGTCGCAGTAAAGCGGGTAAGATCTGATGTTATGCACCTTTAATAATCGTACAAAAAATAAGGTAGGTACTGTCAAGTTGCAGCTCCAATACAATAATTAGCGTTTTTCCTGGAAAGATTAAAAAAATCCGTTAGGGGCAGCACTGATGGAGGGGTACATAATATGTTTTGAATTGTTTAATGACAACAACGTAGTGATACCGGGACCCGGGGACATCCTCAAAAAACGTAACTAACCTTACAATTTCCATTCAAAAAATCCTTTTTACAAAGTAAGAAATAATGACAGTTAGATAATTTTATCAGATAATCAATGTCATGATGACATTCTCATTTTACGTATCAGTACTCAAGTGCAAATTGTATAAATTTCAAAATGTCTAGTACAAAATCTTCTAAATTGCAATTAAGTGACGATAAAAAAGGAAGGGACGATGTTGATTTAGACAAAGAGCTTCTTCGGTCTCCGAACATATTTCAAGAAGGCTATAATTTCAATACATCCAGGGGCAATAAAATATGTAAATATATTATCAATACCTACTTTAAAATAGATAATATTAATCCCAACAGGTTCCTAGCAATGTTTCGTGGATAAACTAGGTACCTATAATAAGAGGAAAACAGGTAATAAAAAGGAATCCAAATATTATGAACTTGTGTTCTTAACTATTGGTGTGCAAATGAACGCAATCTTGTCTTACAAAGGGATCAAGGTCGTGTGCTTGTTATATAATGATTAGTTTAAACAGGATGAAATGAAAATTAGGAGAAAATATACTTATCAGCCGTTTATATCTAAATGAAATTAGTAGAAGAAGAAGAGATACATTTTTATTATATTTTCCTTCGACTATATTAATTGACCTCGAAAAACAACAGATAAAGTATTTTTTTTTTTTGTTTTCAGATCATGACAAATTTATTGAAAAATGTCTTGTAATTATATCAGTACTGTTCGTATTAGTAGCATTTCCGATATCTTTGTTTACTATATTTGTGGTAAGTTTATTTATTCTTTCGTTTTATTGAATTAAGTACCTACATGGAAGAAATACAAAGGTATTTTAGCCCTTTCCCTTTATCTATAGGTAGTTCGTCAATTTGAACGAGCGGTTATTTTACGAAATGGAAAATTGCGTAAAAACAAAGCTTACGGGCCTGGACTTATTCAATACCTACCATGTGTGGACACCATCAAGTATGTTGACTTGAGAATTATTTGTTATGCTGTGCCACCTCAAGAGGTAAGAACTATGTTATTGTATTTGTGTAATCAATACATTTAATATTTTTTTCTTGTCAGGGAGCCATTTTAAGATTACCTACGTTAGTTCTAATATTCGTACAGGATTTGATCTCATCATTAGTATCATGATTACAACTAAGAAAACTAATAGTATCCTGCGGCTTCACATGCATGATATTTAAAGTATGTGGTATGATGGGAATAAGAGACTACATATTTAACAATGACCGGGCAGCAACTGTCTTTTATAAACCTCATAGACGTGGAATTATCGCAACCCCTTTTATGTAGAGGAGGTTCATTGTCCAGCAGTTTACTTTAACGGGCTATTGGTGATCCGATATTATCATTTAAGGCTTTAACTAAAGACGCTTTGACTGTTGCGGTGGATGCAGTAGTTTACTACAAAATTGACGACCCAATTTGGGCGGTTGTCAACATTGCCGATTATAAGTAAGAAATGTTTTGTTTTTCTTGTATGACTAACTAGCCGTTCCCCTCGACTTCGTCCGCGTATAATAATAACTTATGGCAGAATTTTGATTTTTTAATTGTTTTTTTTCATGGTTAATTCCAATCTCATTAGAATCAATTCAATTTTCCTTTAGATAATGTTAACAGGATATGTGAAAAACTACTAAAAGAATTTCTTATATTATTGGTATTGCTTACGCTGTGGCAATTATGGACAATAGTGCACGTTTTAAGCAAGAGAAACGACATAGAACAGTTTTTATTATTAGAACCTCAATGTGCGGATACTATACGGGTAAAACCCACAACCGACTCGACTGACAGGACTGACAAGACAGACGCGGCTCCACAACCGACACAACCGACACGACCAAGACGACCGACACGATCAAGAGGACCGACACGACCAAGACGACCGACACGACCAACACAACCGACACGACAGGCACGATCAACACGATCGACACGATAGACACGACAGATACGACAGACACGACAGATACGACCGACACGACCGACGCAACTGACACAACAGATTACGACTGACACGACCGACCCGACATATACGACAGATACAACAGACACGACAGACGACCCGCACGATCGATACGACAGGCACAACAGATACGACCGACACGACAGACACGACCGACACGACAACCACGACCGACAACAAAAATAAGAAATATGTAGACTCTTCTTCCCTATAAATTTTGTCTATCTAATCGATATTTCTATTTCTCAGAGTAGCTACCCAATATTTAGCAGCTACAACCCTCCGAAATGCTCTTGGAACTCGTAAACTATCAGAAATACTAATTGACCGACCAGCAGTCAGCTACCAAGTCTTTGGTAACATGAAGCATCTGACCACCAACTGGGGAGTCAAGGTTGTGAGATTTGAGGTGTAAGTACAAACAGAACTAAAAAAGTCCTGTTGTCCACAAAAATGCATTTATACTTCTAAATACACAATGGTCATTATCATAACTAGCTATAAGATATCCAATAATTTCCAGATCAACTGACTGAAAATTGTGTGTTCGTCCATCCGTTTGTCCATCTTATTAGTGAAGTTCCAAAATACATAAATTAATACTGCAACACCAACTTTTGAATTTCAGGAAAGACATCAGCTTACCACTGCAGTTACAGAAAACAATGGCTACAGAAGCGGAGTCGTCGCGATTGGCAAACGCTAAAATAATTGTAGCGAAGGCTGAAATAGAATCTACTAAGAATCTGCAAAAAGCTACTAGTTTGCTCATGGATAATCCTTATTGCATGCAGGTTGGTTGAATCCAATGTTCTATCATTTTAACATTTGATTTTAGTTTAAATCTGTTCAATATCGTTTGTGTAACATGTTTGGGTACCTACTCCAGTCGAGAGATAGCCGAAGAGTTCTACTACAAGAACTAATAAAATGGTTCAGTAACCGTCCTAAGCACCTTACAATAAATTAATATCTAAAATGGTCATTTCAGCTCAGATACCTGCAAGCTCTACAGATGATTGCCGGCGAGAGAACGCATACGGTTGTGCTTCCAATTACACCAGAAATGTTGAAGGGCCTGTATAAGTGAATCATGGGATACGACATAGTAAACTGTAATGTAATGTGAACGTATTTGGGTTTGTAAATTATAAACGTGATTGTATTGTTTCTTTTTATTTAACAAAAATAACTAATAAATATTTATCAAAGTATAAAAATCTAAACTATAGGAACATAACAGGACTAGTATTCTCTGGAGTCGTCTTCTACTTGCTTTGGATGGCCGTAATGAACTAGCTTTTGTGGTTGACCGCCTGATTTCTTATGCACCGTAGCCTGTAAGCACACGAAAAAATAAACACTTTAGCTCCACGCATAGTCAAATTAATGAAGAAACGACAAAAATAAATGCAATTACTTGGAAACCATTCTTGGGGTCGGCAGTATATCTCACAAGACGGATGGAGCCATCGGGTTCAACGAGCGAATATTCGCCCTGGACGACGTCTCCATCGCGATGTTCTTTATGGTTCTGTAGATTACCGGTGTGGGGATCTTCAACACCATATGAGTAAGCGTAGTCTGGTTTGGCCTAAAATATTACGGAATTATTAAGTTTCACTTTTATTGTCTCAAGTTTTATAAAATGCCTCGCATTTATTAAATTTTAAGTGGCGCTTCTAGCGAATTAAATCCTGTCAATGGTACTTTCGTGTATATTTAAGCACGTTCCCCTTTATCGTCGTGTAGTCTTAACAAACTTACAACATAGTCAACAGTCTTCAGATGTGCGTATTGAGCTGTGTCTGGATGTATTTGTCCAGTTTTGTGATCATATCCGTAGTCTGCATGTTGCTGTGCTGGAATACCTTCAGCAGCTGGTACTTGCACTTCAACGATTTGACCACTGACGGGTCCACTGAAGCGACTGTATGAATAACCTCCTGGAGCTTTATTTGCCAACACTATTGTGGCTAATGCTATCGATGTTAGAAGCTGAAAGAGATAAGAGGATTAGGTACAAGTGTTTTATAGCATTCTTTGAAGAAATGAAAACAGCAACTACATCGCAGAACGCAGTTATCCAAAAACAACAATAGAAATCTGGTTGATTACAGTTAGATCCGATCGAGAGAGTTATTACTTCCAGTTCATTGGTGACAAAAAGCGACGACCTTCACGGTCAGTACCCTATTAAGTTGTTACTCAACAGTGACAATGAAAAATAATCGACCACGAAGAAAGTGAGAACAAGATATTTTACGATAAGTTTTTAATGAGACTGGATGATTTAATTTGAATAATTTATTACCTTTTTTAATTGAAATGTATTTCGATTAATTGGGAAGTTATTTCTTAATATTAGGTACTGATTGATTTTTCTGCATCTATTGAGTTTATGTTTGATTTAACGTTCATTTGTATTAAATACTTGCCATTTAGGTATATTAAATACCTATCGTTGTACGGTTTATATAAATTTGCGTTATGTAACATTTTTTTACTTATTTTTTATTTTGATGTTTGTTTTTATCTTGCTTTTGGCTTAAATAATTTCTTGTCTAAAAAATACTGTTAGGTATGTTATGAAATGTTCAGTATCGGAAATAATTATACACATTGTATACTTAACTGATTGAATTTAAAGGTATGTATGTATATTACCTACAATTAAATATTTTAAGCGATGGTTTAAAATTAAGGTGAATTAATGTAATGCACTCTTTTAAATAAAAATTCGTTAATTGTTTCGTGCAATGAAACAATTAACTTCAATTCAATTTCATTCAATTTAATTGCTAATAATTAATTAATCTAAGTAACTATGACACCTAAATGTTTTTTTTTATATAAAAATAAATATTTGTGAATTAAAAATAAATGTAAATAATTCAGGTGCCTACCTTGTATACGAAAGCCATTTTTTTGGAGTTTGTAGCGTGGTGGTCTCCCAATAATCCTTGCGGAACTGATGCCTGTGCCACAAGTGTTGTGGTTTTATACTAGCTGTCACCTCGGCAAGAATAAAATGCAATCGTGAACTTGTAGACTACGGTTGCGGCAAACTATGAATCAATAATTTTCAATATTCGGCACTGGGTACGCAGCCAAACGTTACAATGAAATTGCGTAGATTTGTTTCAACTATTGTTTGTTTTGGTTATACTACAGTAACCTTGATTTTTTCACTCCAATTTAGATAAGTAGGTACCTATACCCTGCACAAATATTCGAAATCATGCGTTGCTAAATAGGTACCTAAGACGTAGTAGTTAATAAAGTAAATTAAACTTACAACCTAAAATTATTTGTGACTGTTCATGACACTACAAAGTCGCGGTTTAAAAACCTTATGCCCGGATGTGGTCCCGTGACAGGTTGGGCTACAGTCGGTTTCCAACCACTGCACCAATCGTGCGTTTATTAACATTGACTAAAGTACATCAGTTCTACCTACTATAAATTATAATTGGTGATACTATAGTCTCTGCCTATCTCATGAGACTATAGAATAGAACTATAATAAACTGTACAACTGTAGAGGATGTAAAACATATGTAGGTAGGTTTTTTTTAAGCGGGGAAAATCATCGCATGACTTCTCCCGCCTAGGTGAGTCGAGAGGGAGCGTCAGACTCTTACTGACTAAAAACCACCCCCTTCCTACCCCTGCACTTCAAGCTGGAACCCCGGTAACCCCATAAGTTCTCCGCCGCTCCGTATCAGCATCAGCATATCTATTGGACCCCTTCTGTGGTGGTCTGACGCCTCTTTGTGGCGCGCGGGGAACGAGACGCGCCGCACGCTCGGGTCTGGTTCAGCACCTGTAGCCAAATGCCATTTAGCGCTTGTCTACTTGTAGAGTAGACAACAAAATTATATGGAATTGACGTAAATTTAGACACTTCAAGTATCCATCCCATACATTTTGATTTCTACTCTCTCTGACAAGCGCTAAAGTGGTGTTTGTTGGCTAAAGGCACAGGTCGGGCGGCGAGCTACCCATGCTCGCCGTCCGCAAGCCCGTGCATTGTTTGGTGACCGGAGATCGTCTCGCGATCCCTGACGCCTGGAGAGTCCTTCGCATGTAGGTAGGTATGCATGTTCAATTTACCTAAGGTAAGGTTTGATAAATTATTAACTATTGTGAACTGGGTACCTACTCAGTACTAGATCCATTTTTTTTCTAATTTATTGACCTATGCACCTACAGTCAGCCCAATTATTTTAGTATGCAGGCAAGGCAAATAAAAAGATGGACTCGGTACAAAGAGAGTTAATCATTGTTTGGCGACTGAACCAACCAAAGTTACCCACTGTCGCTATGGTAAATAAATCTTTATTTTCGTATATGCAGCGGCCATGTCAAATAACTGGGCTGACTGTACATAATACTGTAATAAGTGTTAACTCATAACTGTAATCTGATATGAGTAAGTTTAGTCCTATTTGAGAAACATTTATTGGTATAATCATTTCGTCATCGAGGAGAATTTAAAATACAATAGCCAAAAAATGTTTAAAACAATCATGTTTGATAATAATGGGATCAATTTCGTTTGGACGATCGGTACGAAACCAAAAACATTGTACCCACAGCAAAGTTGTTTGTTTACTTGTTTGGAAGGATTTTTTTTAACATAACATAACATCACGCCTTTTTATCCCCGAAGGGGTAGGCAGAGGTGCACATTTCGGCACTTAATGCCACTGTACAATGTAACACCCACTTTTCACTATTTATGTTATGAGTCCCATGTAATAGGGGGTGAGCCTATTGCCATATACCGGGCACATTTTTCCAGACTCCGTGCTACTACTGAGATTTTTAAAAACCCAGTAATACTTTGCCCGACCCGGGAATCGAACCCGAGACCCCTTGCCCGGCAGTCGCACTTGCGACCACTCGGCCAATGAGGATTTTTTTTAAGGGGGGGAAATCATCAGATGACTTCTTTCGCCTGGGAGTTTTATTCTGGTTTTTGCCCATCACTACAGATGAGTCAGGCAATCAAACATTTTGATTGAGACTAAACGTCATTTTATCTAAATGTCAAAATTGACACTGTCATAGTGTCATTGTCAAATGTCAATCTTCAAATGAAAACGAGCGTTTATGAGTGAGAGTGAGTTAAAAAATGTAAAATAAAAATAATAACGCAATCTTATACCTTTCTATGTTCCTAATAAGGCTGCCGCTAGCGGCTTGATAAAACTTTAATTAAGGCAATAATACTGACACAGTTGCATGTCTGCAAGATAGTTTAGATTTAGACTTGGGCAATTGCAGTGTGATATTCAGAGAAAAAAATGAGTCCAAGAAAGAAAAAAGTCAAACATTCTCCCACAAAAGAAGAAAAAGATAAAGATAATACTTTAAAGCGGGAAAATGTTGAAGAATCACTTGCAAAACGTATCAAGACTGAAAAACATAAGGATGCAGACTTACAGGCTAAAAAGAAGCAGAACTTCATGGAAGCCTGTAAACAAGTGTCTTGCAAGGCTTACTCTGATCATAATACCAGATTCTTAGAGACATATTTACCTAATTGTTTGGAAAATGGTGGTTGCAATCATCATGACAAGAATGTAGTAAGTCATAATGTCTTATCAGATCAGTATAATCATCAGTCTTAAACTTTTTTAACGGCAACATATTCTTCCTAAAATCAGTCCAATAAAAAGCTTCAGAAGTTATGTGGTTTAAGTAAAAAAAAATTATTTAATGTTCCAGGCCACTATCACTCAAATGCCACCCCATATTGAACAATCATTCTCAATAGAAATTAAAAATAAAGCATGGTTTGAAGCCTTGGATTTGTGTAGAATGTACATAACTCATGACAAGTATTTAACACCAGCAGTATTGCAAGATATAGTTGAAATTATATTGGTGAGTATTTTGTTATATTCTTACTTACACAAATAATTAAATCTTATCGGAACAATTTAATATGTAGAAATGCACTTAAAACTTGTTTTAGAAAGCAGATTATAAAGATAACATAACATAGATAATAAAAACCAATTTCACAAGTTTTAATTTGAAGTGTCTAATTCCAGAATGCCCATCAAGACGATTATGATGACCACTCATTATTAGATGTCATTATTAAAGCCCAACATGTACTATCTTTACACTTCAGCACACACCCCCCTTGCCATATTAAAAGCTTAAGAACATGTTACAAAGACTTCCTAACAGCACCCATGAGTCTCAAAGAAAAGACTTTTACAAATAGAACACAATTTGAATGTAGGAAAGGTATTGTTAAATATTGTATAAATAGACTAGAAGACGAAATCAGTGCTGAAAGCAAGGATGGGCCCTTGGTTGACAAGCAAGGTAAAGTGCCCCTACATTTGATGAACACAGTAAGTGCTGCTCATTGGGAAAATGAAAAGTTTTTAATATATGAATGCCTAGACAGGCACCAAAGGATACAAAGACTGATGGCTGTCCTTGAAAGTGTGATAGAATTATTGCAGTATGATCTAGCCATTTGGCATTCAAGGTAACTATTAGTATCTTATTTGAAAGTCATATATTCACTTCTGACTGTATGCCTTGAAAACCCCAGTATTGAATCAGAGGCTTTATGGTTAGCATGCTTGTAGGCACAAGCCTGCTTACACAATATTTTATCTATGAGGCCCACTTCTTTGAAAGTTTGAATAATATGACTGATGACTGTTGATAAAGCGAAAGAGGTATCTAAGAAATGTAGTAATTGGCATTCCATAGTCTGCCTACCCTTAGGGAGCAGTTGTGATGTTATGTACCTATATATGTATGACCTGTAAACTAAATTTTAGTTTTAATCTTGCTATTATTGTTCCAGATATATCAACAACTTGGGTACCCATATTATGAGGTCACATAAGCCCCTATTGGCATTTGTTCTGTGGTCTGATAATACTGTGTACACCGGTGCAGTGACTAACAACTGCAGGCAAATAATGAAACTATTTATACATCTTAATCATTTAAGATACCCAGACAACATGTTGAGGATAATAGCAGTAAGTTTTCTATTTATTCAGTTTATATAAGTACTGTGAAACAGGTAGGTATTGTTGTACATCCACTTCTTAAAATTCCTCAGGCCAAGCCCAACAACAAAGATGGAGTAATACGTAAAGTTCTGACATATCCATGATAATTAATCTTCCACCATACAGAGTTCATAAAACCAAATATGTTTTTGAACCCCTAAGTACAATAAAAATTTAACAAACATTATCTACTTACATATAGTATAGTATAGTTTTTAATGCTTTCATTATTTGCGTATAAATTTAAAATGTGTCTCCCTAGCCTTATTCCATGCTGGTTTGGATCTGGTGATTTGTAGTAGATAAATATTCAACTTCTTTACCTTTTTTCAGATGTGGCTAAATGCAATGATTCAAACATTTTACTTTTGTGAATCAAACTCAAACAGTGATTACCCAAATATTGGAAAATATTGCAAACAATTTGCAACTGAGTTCCATAAAATGATTACAGGTTTGTACTCTCTATTATCTCTATTTAGTCAATCATAAACCATATTCATTAAATTATTAGTTTAATTAGTAAAAAAATAACATTTTCACCTCCTAGAAATAGAACTAGAAGTTAGATTCCCGGGTCAAGCAAAGTATGACAGGGTTTTAAAAAATTCTCAGTAGTAGCATGAAGTCTGGAATTGTGCCCTGGTATATGGTATATGGCAATAGGCTCACCCCCTATTACATGGGACTCATAACATAAATTGTGAAAAGTGGGTGTTACATTATATAGTGGCATAATGTGCACCTCTGCCTAACCCTTCGGGGATAAAAGGCGTGATGTTGTGTTATGTTATAAAAGTTGTATTCATATTTTTCAGGTATGCCATGTGACTCTATCAACAGAATTTTGGACAGAATTGAGCCACCATTTATGAAACATCTCATTGGTATGACTCACATCAAGATATTGCAGCCCATCCAAGATGACTACATTTCAAATATTTTAATCAATTTTTTCAAAGAAAAGCAATGGTCAGCATTTCCTCCAGACGAAAATGAAGTGATTATTTGTAGACCACTATTTTTAAAACCTATCAAGATATCTGGAGTGCTCAATTTTGTAACAAAGAAATTTTTTACTCATAATGCCAATGTTGAAACTGCTAGCAGTGCCAACAATGTAGATTACGCCAAGTTAGATACAGAAATTTTAGTTGATAAGAAATTAGATGATAGGAAATTAGATGATAGCCTGAATCATTTTGTCCACACCCTGTATGTGACATTGGAAGCTTTTTTGAATATTTATGATGTACATGCTGTGCAAGAAATGTGGAACAGATTGAATGAATCTCCCATAAAAGAGAATGACAATCAAAACAACCCAACTACATTTCAAGATGGCAAATATAATGTTACTGCTGAATTCATCAAAAAGTACAAAGATATAATGAAGTCTATGAAGGAATTACACAAAGTGTTCAAAGATTTGAAGAGCAGTGGAGATATGCCTGATATCTTGAACATTTTTACTAAACTTCTACATGATTGACGTACAAACTGGTGAATTAATTGATGTGCTTTTTTACAGGGACCAAATAACCTATTTAGAAATGTAATTGTCAGTACATAACTAGGTATTCTGGTGAGAAGTAGTTTTAGTATTGGCTATAACAAATTAGCCATGTTCTTTGTTCCAGCTGTTTATTCTATTTTTGTAAATTACCTATATTAATAATAAACAAATGTTTAACTGGTTGATATTTTAAGGGCCGATTTTTCCAACACTTTTGGGATTTTTAATCATCAAAATTGACATTTGACAGTTTTCAGTATGGAAGAATTGTTAAATGTTCAAAGTTAATATGTTACAATTTATCTGGCGCTGAAGAAAACGGTACTAAAAATTGTCAACAATTAAGTTAAGTTTTAACTGATAATTGAAAAATTGGCGAATTGACGAAATCAATAACCTCTCTAAATTCTACAAGGTGTGGTTGTATGTATGTGTCTCAGTTCAAAATCTGTTAATAATAAACACAGGTAACCCTGTGTGTCTTGAAGGCCTGAGGGAATAGTTACTTATGGGTCGACATGCTCCATTTTAGACTGCATCATAGCTTACCACCAGGCGAGATAGTTGCCAAGTGTCGTCCCATCATCATATATTTAAAAAAAATACGGATTGATTTTTGACATTTGTTGAATGAAGTTTCTGTGTTATATTAATTATAATCCACAGGATTGAATTTAGATTGGTTGTTAATTTCAACCATTGTCATTCTCGAGCTTCTTTGAAAACTACCTCTTATTAATATTAAAAGTGATAGATTTAATAAAATGATAATATTTACAATTTAACCCTTGGGGAGCCTGGTAGGTAAAAATCACATGGCATGCCTGGTGGGTCTCACAGACCCGTAAATATAAATGGTTATTTTTATTTATTTTGATGTTATAAACTATAATAAACAGTTTGTAATTTATATTAAATATTATATATTAATGAAAAAAGAGAAAAAAAGACGACAATATATTATAATAAAGTTTTATTACTTAAGCAAATAAAAAATCTCTCATTTTTGGGTAACAATAACATGTCCTTAAATTAACAATATTAAACTCTTTTTAATTGAGATCAAAATCAGTCTTCACATTAATATAAGGCATAGATGAATAAACTTTGGTTACTAAAGTAAGATTAACTCAGTATTTGTGCGACAATTTTCGCATATAAATTTGCGTGCTCCAATCAAATATGACCTGTGCAAGAAATACAAATGTACTTAGATTTACGGCCCTTTTTAGCAAGGCATATGTAACAACATCTTTTTATAGCAGCATCTTGTCTTTTAGCTGGTGTCTCTGAGAGTTTTCCTCTATGAGAGCTAATTCTCTTCCTTAGGTTAATCGGAAACCACGTCATCCTCAATTTCATGGATCTTGATCTAAAATTTGCCTTATTTCGGTATTGGTTAATCGCCTGGCCATATTTAACTGCGAAAATATTATACAGATAAATAATTTAGCACATAATGCAAAATAAATAATGAAAACAAAAATAATAACTTACCAGTTAAAAGTTACGCCGCGTGCCTGGTCGGGTTTCTCAGACCCGAGCGCACATAAAACACGTGTTACTAGAACGCGTGTGCGTTGTGGATTGCTGGAGGGGCGGCAATCTAGCCGCCAGTCTATATCACGAAGCTACTTAGGCATACAGCGGCGGTAATTACGAAATTTCTAAAATATTGTCGATTCTTTAAGGTGATGGGTCTGTCAGACCCACCAGGCACCCCAAGGGTTAATGAAAAATGCAAGCTTTACTATTTTTACTTGTTATTGTTCTAATGCAAGACAGTAGTTCCAGTTACTTGGTAATAAATTATTCATTTTCAAATAAATAAGTTTTTTAGAGATTACTATTTGTGAGTGACTTTGTTGTTAGATGTTTAGGATATGATAGCATCCCATAAGGATCATAAGCCTGTATGCCACTTCACTGCTTTATTACCTACAAGTCATTGAGGTGGTAAAATTGTTTTACTTCAAATAGTTCTAGTTGTAAATTATTAAAGCATGATGTGTGATTGAGAACAAAGTCAATTATTATTATGTGTAATTTTATTGAAATGTTATCCCACCAGCCCACCATACTGTTATTCTGTTACTGAATGAGACAATGTTGAGGTATTACAATTTCTGTACTTAATTATAAATAAATGAAAATACCAGTTACTACTCTAGTCTTATTTTATTAATATTTTGGCATAAAGTGTCCCCTTGCTTTCTTGCTGCGCTTGGCTTTCTCAATATCTACATTGGGATATTCTGCTTTGAGGTTTTCCAAGTCCATGTTAGGGAACCGCTTCAGTAGATGTTGTACTTGATTGAAGTCCCTGTTTCGAGCCTTTCTTTCAATATTGTACTGCTTCTCTTTGTAAAGTCTCACAAACTTCTTAACTGCGGCACTATTTATAAAACCGTGCTCAAGGTATGGTTTCACCCATCGTGTGTTCATAAACTTAGGAATAAAGTGTTCTTTTTTTTCATACTTTTCTATTAAACCAAACAAGTTTACAACATCTTCCACAGGGCGCTCTCCAGTCTCCCCTGTCTCCAATTTGTAATAGGCCACATTGCGTTCTCTTATAACAGTTTCTATGTTATCCATAGATTCCTGGACTTTGTCTATTCTTTCAGGATTGGGAAATAATCTCATCTGTCGTTTGCACTCATGCTCCATAGTGTATAACATGTTTCGCTCTTTCAACAGTACATACCACAGTTTATGTAAATCTGAGTTGGATTTTATCCTTAGTTCATCCAATTTCCATCCTCTACCAACTCTGATATTTGTTTCTCCCCAATTTTTTTTAGTATCAAAAAATTCCATTAGGTCATTATTAGGTTTTGTTGTATGTACATCTCGTTTGAAAATTGGAGCAGCTGCAACTTTGATAACATTTTGTGCTCGTAAACATCGGCTTACAGTATATTTTAATATATTACTGACTACAGCAGTATTCATCATATAGAGTCGAATCAAAAATTGAAAATATTTCTGGAAACTTTTAGGTTACCTTTTGATTATTCAATAAATGTCATTCAGTTTGATTTGACATGACAGTAACCGTAAGAGTTCGGAAATACTTTTGGTTAGTCCACTCTAAGTTAAGAACTAAAAAACTCAATAAAAACCGAAAATCAAAAATAAGTTTAGTAGGTACCTAAACTTATGTTTTAAAAGCCATAAGTGACAAAGACAACAGATAAGTTTGTGGTTTTTAATACAGAATTGACTAAATAGCGATTTTCTGGACGAAGCCATTTTGACAGATATTAGTGACGTTTAGTTAGCTAAGCATTCAATTTTATTTGATGTTTAACAAAAAGATTTCTCAGCTCCAGGAAAGTTCAAACAAGAAAATTTGGTACAATATATGTTTAACTAAACAGATCCTTTTTGCTGTAGTATTACTGTTGAATATTGATGTAAAAATATATTATTTTATTTTTGAAAAGATTTGACAATCGATAAACGTAACTAAACGAAAGAGTTGGATAATGTCGTGGTTACAGTGAGTAGTTGAAAGGACGCATTTTCTTTAGTTCTATAGAAAAACACAATGAAAACAAATTAAAACCATTGATTCGTACATGTGCATTTTTACGTGCTTTCGGTGCTCATATGACTAAAATACTGATTAGTTTGTGTAGTGTGTGTTATTTTCGAAGATTCCATCACCGCTGAGGAAGCTTATTGAAAGGTACAAACATCATTCACCTCTTTTATTTTTATAAAACTTTTGTTTAGTTCGTAATATTTTTTACCTGACCTTGGTTTACTAATGTGCGGGTGTATTGTGAATGAATAAATGTATAAATAAGGAGATCTTAATTCAGAATCGTGTTAATGTATTTTATTAATATCAGTCAATTTTGTTTGTGTGTAAAATGTAAACACGAATAGATAAATTTGATAAAAATAATTACAAAACAAAAGGACGTTATAACAAAAAGTATACGTATTTTAGATAAGCTGAAATGGAAAGGTTTTGTTTTCATTTTGGGTACCTATTTTTTTCTGAATATATTTGCATAGAATTCCTGCTTTCACTTGTTAACATTTGGAATCCTATTAGACTATGTATATTGATTGCTCATCATCTTTTTATTAGAAACTTATTAGTTTTTAATGTGATCAAGTACAAAATTCATTCACAAGTTAAGAATTCACATCCTAAATCTCTACCTGGTTTGGTTATACCTAAAAGGAAGAGCTGTAATACAAACAAACCTATTGCCTGTTAACAAACCTAAATGCACTCAAAGGTAAATTATTGTACTACCTATTTTTCTTAAGACCCAGTGTCAACCCTGAAAACTAGATATGTAATTAGGAAAAGACCAAAAGAAAGTAAGAATGGTGTATTTTTGTGAAATAATAATTAAAATTTAAAGTAACAAGCATCAAATCGAAAAGCTTCTCAGTACCTAAGTACTTAATTATAAAACAGGTGGTTGATTATGTTAAAAAAAATATTGTATTTCATGATTGAAAAAGTGAATTTTAATACATTTACCCCTTGAGCATCCTTATGAGCACCTGGTGGATCATAAGAAAAAATGCTCCATGCTGCTTTCTCTTTTATAAAATCTATTATTAATGTTTAGTTTTTATTTTGACTGTATTTTTTTTATTTCTATTGTAATAACGCTCAACGGGTTAATGTAGGTAACATCAATATTGTCAATGTCAATATTTAACATTTTTCCTAATTTTATTGATATTATTGTGTCACGAATGTGTGTTTGTTTGATTCTCTTTCTTTCATATTGCAGCGGAGAATTTACTGTGATCTGATTTTTGTGACTGACCATTAGGTAGTTACTGTAGATTTATATAGGCTATTTTCCATTGATGCTATTGTCCAAAGCCAATGGCGGAAAGCTATTCTAGTTCTAATAAAGGATGTATAAAATAATTATCACATCCATTATTCCTAATCGTAGTACATAAAAGTATTGTTACATTATTAAACACAAGCTGATCCCACAACTTTGTCTGTGTGGAATAGTGCCTTTGAATAGTTCTTCACAGCTCCTATTTATGGTAGAACGATAATATAAATATATTGGCCTATATGTTGATCCGACCTGTAAGTAATATTCTTGCTTTAAAAGTTAATCCATGAAGCACTTTTTGTGTTGAGCCTGGATAAGTACAGACAAAAATTCTAAAAACTATATTTTTGACTTCCAAAATCGATTGTAGATCACAAACCATTATTTAACTCGTCGAGTACCGGTTTTATAGACACAATTAAAGAACAATAGGTCGCGGTCACCAGTGACCGCTTGGTGTTTGACAGTTTATAAAAACTTTACCATGTACAATTTTGACTTGCTTATGATTTTATTACTTATGTACATGTATAGATTAATTAGGTTGACTTATGTATCAGAGACTAGAACAAATTGATTGCTGTGGTGTATGTTTAATGTGTGTTTTTAATTGCTGTGGCATTTAACTAACTAATAAGGTAGATAAGCTATGTATATAGCTCTATGTTTAATAAGGTTACAAACCTGGTGAGTTGTAAAGTTATTAAAGAAAAACTCAAATTATCTGTTTGTAATAACTCAGGTTAATAAAAATTCAGGTACAATTCTAATTGGATACAAACTAATTTAAAAACACAGGTTTTTTTAGTTAGGTATTAGGTAGGTACGTTATTTTTATCGCTAACATGAATAAAAAAAATAATAACAGATATTCTTCCGAAACAGTCTGTTAAAACAGATTTTTATCATTATCAATATTTATACACTTTAGATAGAAGTTCAATATACCTACTGTAGACAATGAGTAGATGCCTAGTGCCATAATGAACACAACATCTGTGCATGAATTTAGGGCAACAATTCTGAGTAGACAAATAAGTTACCACTACTTACCATCTGTTTGTGAACTAACTAGGTGTGCCACAACTCCGTTTCCCTTACAATTTATAAGGTGACAAAATACGTTAATTAAGAAGGGGCCCATCCTCTCGTCGTGTGTTCCGGCGGGTAATTTGTCGCGTGCATTAAGCAAGTTCTACGCTCGTTACGGGCCCCACAGAACCACACGCTAAACAACGTAACGTCTCAATTGCGCGCTTCTGCCGCCTCCGCCCGCCGACGCCTCGCCGTCATAAACATTTTACATGATGGCACGCTTATGACGCCAACTGACGCTGCGACGCCTGTTGTAACGAAGCAACCGACATCACCCTTATAACACGTATAATATCGTTGAAGAACACTTAAGGTCTTGGCCATTATGGCCATTACCATCAATGAGCATCAAACTATTTTCGTAATAACTAACCTGATCTAATCTTAGTAATATTATTTACGTACCTACTACCCAGTACCATACATATATAAAATAAACACAAATACAATCACACTTAAATGTATTCACTACAATCAACTGCATACCTTTATCAAGCATGATAAAAATGTTAAAGAAAGGTTGCATCGAATTGAGATTCGACACTCAAGCCACATTCGATTTATGACCCGTAGATGCACATAATTTATTTCGTCAGTATTATATCAGAAATTACCGTCACGTCCCACTTACTATATCTGTCACTGGCCGAATAGGTGCTTACATACGATCTCCGTATAGAATCGTTGATTAAATCAGGCGCCGTCGCTTTGTTTAGGCAGCGATCGCATTATCTCGCATGCTTGTCAGTCACACTCGACCCGCTTGTGACGTCGGACATCTAGGCTCTAGACTATGAGCCCGGAACGGACAGGGATGATTGTATTGCATAACACAATAGGACATCGAAATTAATGCAATATTCGCAAAGATGTCGCATTCATCCGGCAACAATGAACGCCACACATTGTGTGTATGTCTATCTTCTATCCTTACCTCCCTGTAGAATAACCGTAACTAACTAGGATTGGGATCATTTAGTACAAAACGAGGTCACCATGTGAAATGGTACCCAAACATCTGATAGGGTACGTACTAGGATGACTAGTCGACCTTGTATGATTAATATTATGATTCATTTCTTCCGCACACAACGTATTAATAATATCTACTTCTCAACGGTTCTAAAGTAAAGCTACTCTTAGCTTGACCTTTAATATTTATTACAACGAAAACGAATCCAGTCCTAAGTCGACAACTTAATGTTACACACATACGTAAAACCTTCGTCTTTGATCTGCAAATACTTATTTTACTAAAACTTATTATGTTTTGTTGAAGCATACTTAACTACACGAATATTTGTAACTAAACACTAAAACGAGGCTGGGCTTTTAGTAATACTACACGTTCATCCCAATAATTCTTCCTCAAAAATGTTTATCACTTAGGTACTTTTGAGCATGAGCATCTTATTTCATAACCAAAACTATTAATTTACCTGTTGTGTATCCTTGCGACACTTTTGGGTTCGTTTCCGCCTGTATTTAATGGGCCTCCAAAACATTGGGACCTTTTTTTGGAATACCACTTAAATCAGCGGTGTCATCGGCTTTTAGACGCAATATGAATGCGAGTATTTATTTAACTCCTCCACCCGTAGTTATTCTGGTTATTCAATGCGGTCTACTCTAATATAAAACCATTTATTTAAAGCATTTTGTGAATCTTAAGAGACGTTTTTCAAAGGCCAAAGATCAAAGCTATTCGAGCGAATAAATAAAGGGAGATAGGTACTTTTTTCTTTCTTTATATTCGTTAGGGGCCACATTACATTTTGTTTGCGCTCAAGTAGCTGATATAGTCAAATTGCAAAGTGAGAAACCATTTTTATTATAATTGCAAATAAATGCAGCAGTCACGTTTATCCGAATAAAATGTTGATTTAGTTCTAAATATCTACCTATCTCATCTTCTGAGTTATTCGTTGAGAATTTGAGATCGCTAAATGTAGGTAACTCATTTAGAACGCTCTTACGGCATTTAGATTCCGACTGGAAATGCTTCTACCTATTTACATACTTATTTGAAAG